CCTATCTGGTGGCACATTAGATTGCACGCGCAGTGCCCCAAATTTGAAGTAGGAGGACCGACCAAGCATCTTTTCCCATCTCCCGGTTCCTAAAATCTATGCCATATACACGTCCCCTGATAGGGGACTTAACAGGGATTAAACTGATAGGAATAGTACTACTTAACACACCTTATAATAACGCAGAGAGAGGCAACGCAGAGAGAGGAGTCTGAAGAAGAGGAGTCAGAGGAGGAAGGTGGCTTTGAGGAGGTGGAAGACCAAACACAGCAGGCGCCCCAGGGGGCTTGTTGTCACCTTTTGGGGACCCTTGGTGTTGTACGTGGCTGGGTGGAGGAAGAGATCTTCAATGACATCAGTGAGGACAAGGAACGGGACATGGCTAGCTTGGTATCCAACCTTGTGCAAATGGGGAGTTTGCGGTTGTGCAAATGGACTGTTTGCGGTTGTTTGCGGTGCATTAAACGGGGAGTTTGGTCTGTCACTGTGAAGCAGGCGTAACCCTTACACTACCTGATCGATACAACATCATACCTGATGTTTTAAAGCACGTTATTCCAAACAATTTTGGAGTGTCGGTTGATTTATGCCCTTTATGGATTAAAACCAGACTCTGCATCAACTATGTAATTTTCCATGGGAGTTTTGCCATGGTTCCCCTTCCGGCATGCCACAGTCCAGGTGTTAGTCCCCTTGAAACAACTTTTCCATCACTATTGTGGCCAGAAAGAGTCCCTGTGGGTTTTAAAATTCTCCTGCCTATTGAAGTCTATGGTGGTTCGCCGGTTTGCGAACATTTGCGGAAGTTCGCGTTTACCGTTCGCGAACCGAAAATTTTATGTTCGCGACATCACTACTCCCAGACAATAGGGAGCCATACAGTATAAACCCCAAAACATAACTTTCCCCACATGTACAGGTTAAAGGTCATGCATCCCTGGACAGGGTTAGCTCCTTATAGTAAACTGTCCAAACTTCACTTGGATCAGAGGTATGTAGCCTGAGTAATCGTCAATTAAAGCTTCAGGACGATGCGGCTAACCTCCGATCCAACGTAGAGTTCCAGGCTGTTGTCAGGAAAGTGCCGATCATCACTCAGTGGAAGGGGACTACCCCTAACTTTTGAGAGTTTTCATTAGCCTTCCATCTCCTTTGCCTTCCCTCCAATTAATGCTCTCCTAGATGTCCCAGTGCAGGAGTGGTGGTTGTTGAAAGGTGTACCGGCTGGTCGCCAGACCTTGGTGGGAGTCCCAGGCGGTTTGCACATATCTCCTGATGGTGCAACTCTGGCTTTCCCGGCCAGCATTAACGGCTCTCACGGGTGGTACTCCACTGCCTGGAGGGTGTGACATAAGGAGGTGGATGCAAGGGTGTGAAGTAGCTCTTTTGGGGGGGATTTACCTAGGGTCCTGCACTATTTGTTAGTGCGATTGGAGATGGATCTGTCACATCCTTTAAATGCAGAGTATTGAATTGTTAAGAAAACGTATTATTAGATGTGAGAAAAGAGGTTCAAGTTTCTCAAAATGTTATAAAAATAATATCTTTCACTTAGTCCGTGATGCCAACTTGCCATGTCCTGTAAATATATATAAAATGTAATATGACTATTGATTTTCCTAATCCATTGCGATAAACACTGCCACAACCTCCCAGGTTTTTATTTACGATAGCTATCTTCTGAAGGGACATGAGAGAAAGTCACCCCAAAACAAGGGAGCATGAATGTTTCATTACATTGTCTTGCAAACTAATTTTAAAGCTTTTATGAACATGAAACAGACATTTCACAGGGCTCTTTTATTATCTCAGGATTTGCCATTATTTAACCACGTCTATTCACTTTCTTACCTCACAACTGAAGGAGGTCTAAAGTTTTATTTTTTATTTTTTAAACTCTCTCAACTGAGCCTGAAAATGCTGTGGCTGCTTTCAAATGGAAAGAGGTATAAAGTAAAAAAAAAAAAAAAAAGACCCCCCCAACAAATCAACCTCATTTCAACTCGCCCAGAAATGTCAGTTTTCACAGAGGCTGGCTGAGGGTGATTGTAAAGAGCAGTCAAGGAGCAACATTGATAATATTGATCTAAACATAATATTAAAACACAGCTCTAGAACAGTTAAGAATAATTACAGTTTGATGTTTTTGTTTTTGTAATTCAATAGGGAGAAGAATTCTTAAATGACGAGTGAATGAAATTTCTCATGGGTAACGGTTCCTAACTTGACTTATACGGAAAATGTGCTGGGTAATTGCGGAGGATTGATGTGCACCCCTGATTGAGAAAGAATGGCATTATATTAAATCCGAGACACAAACCATTGTTGATGTACCTTTTGCAGCTAACAATGTTCTCCCATTAATCATCAGTATTAGATTGTGCTTACATGGGAGGGATTGCGGCTTATCTGACAAGGACCTGACAGTGCATACATTCATCACAGCAACGCCAGTAGCTTAGCTACGCTCTGTGCCAATGCCACTTAAGCAACACACTAAATTTGATTTGAGGATTTACCGTGATGTCGGGTATTAGACAGATCAAAATGAAAAACCTAGACATATATAAGGAGATGGCTGAATGAAAATGATTACATGTTTTTTAGATAGCAACTTCAATTTAACTTTCAGAGGCTTTGTCTGCCAATAATCAACTTCTATCAATTAATAAGACAGTTAAATAAATAATGTAGCCTGGATGATTTTCATTTGCAATGTTCCATTCAGACTGTCTGACACTCACCTACTTTGTTGCTACGTGTTACATTATACAATGTGTTCTGAGTGAAGTGAGGTGGAATGGATAACACTGCTGCATACTTGAACAGCACAAGACGGAATAACAACGATGAAAGCATCCTTTATCTTCCGATTCTTCTTAAACAGGGGCTTATTCAGTGAATAGGAGAGGTAAGGTGTACATTTGCGGGGTTTGGTGTATTGCAATTAAGGTCAAAACAGATATGATGCAAATAAATAAAATAAAATCAGAGACGAAGAATATTTCTAATTAGTCTCTTCTGTCCTCAAAGGGCTACTATAAATCTTCTTTTTTTTTTTTTATCTAAGGCACTATTGATTTTGTACTCCTGTTTTATTTAATTAAAAATCCATATTATATAGATTAAATCTTACAATGAATCCAGCGCCGGGAGAAGTCCTCCTCGCATCATTTCCACGTCACAATTGTCACCATGGATCCATCGGTGTTGCAATCGAAGGCTTTTCATAGAGAATACACACAGAGGTAACATTTGCACAGAATTGATATTATGAAGTCAGGGAACAGATTTCCGGACTGCCGAAGTCACATGTGGAGGGGGTGTAATTAGCCCCCAGCACAAAAGTGCAAATTTCTCTATATGTGCAGTGTTTCAAACAGAAACACTGTACATACAGACTTGTACCAACATGACCGCTTCTAAAAGTCAAACCCTTAAACTATCCTATGATGACCGAAATATTAAGAGATCTTGCAAAGCACTGCTGCGTTAATGGACAACCAAAGAATCAGTGGTGGTATTTTTGTTCTAAAACCTGCACCTTTTTTTCCCTATTTCCTATTAACTGTAATTTATGGCTATACAAATATTAAATAAAAAAATAACCAACTAACTCTATAACTAATATTTAAGGATTATTAGTTGGAAGATGCCCCATGTACAATTTGTCTCCAGTGTATTGCAATGTGTAGTTAGTACATCATCCAAACAATGTGGCGAAAAAACACTATACTTTCCATGGCCTCAGTAAGAGCAAGAGAGCAAATACATGACGTTGGACACTGAACATGGGGACGGTAGACTCATTAGCTGCTCAGTTGTTCCCAAGTCGAAAACCTCTGCTCCTCTCCTCACTTCTTGTTACAAAGTAGATACTACACATCTTCCTGGGTGACGTTTCTCTAATTTTACCACCCTCATCACTACCATCCCCTCCCTAGCCCAGCTCACTATTTCGCCTGCCATGGTTTTAATAATTGTTAGGGCGCTACAGAATATGTTGGCGATATATAAATGATAATAATAACAACAATAATAATTAAATGTAATGACATTTTATAGCAAAATGCATTTGTAAAACGAATAAAAATTAAGGGAGTCAATTCTATTTTTTATGGGCATTTTACTTTTTAAATTTATAATTTCACTAATAGAACAATCACATTTTCACACATTTTCTCCACTGCACGTTCTGACAAACTATAATGTACTTGTCTGTGTCTTCAATGAAAGACATGGAAGTGATGAAGAAAACTCAACTTTAATGGACGTAGAAAGGGCATGCCCCATGTAATGCTTACTCCACCCTTCTGTCATGCTTCAGGAACCTCCTATAAACTCCCAGCAGGCTTATTACAATTTACAGAAACCATCTGTTCAGTACCATCATGATTCCAGCATCGTCAAAAACCAACACGAGCCACCGAAAATCTATGTTAGCTGCTCTCTAATTGTTAGTATGGTCACATACTTCCTCCCACTACTTAATTCTTAATGTGTTGAGATGTAACCTCTGGTGTCACAGACACATCTGGCAGAACAGAGGTGAATGTCCTGGTGTACAGATTAAGCTATTTTAAATAATAAGTTCGGTAACGGAGAGGCTGTTAAAAAGCATATAATTGACTGTACAAAGAACCAGTTTAGAAATTAGTTTCATGAATTGGGGGTGTAGGGGAAACTTGGGATTGAGGGTTTTAAACCACTGTTATGTAATTTGAACACTTACCTCCCACTTGGAGTCTCCGTCATTTTCAACCAATTTAAGGCCATGTTTGTTCTTGAGATGTCTGTTAAATTCCCATTTTGTACTATAGACAAAACTGCACACAGGACACTTTATGCCACCTACATAGTAGAGGTAAACAATAAACAGAAAATGTTCTCAATTAATAACTGTTACATGTATGTGAATCACTCAATTAAAGTGGAGAAGAATCTTGCTGTGTGCAATAAGAAACAAAAAGATAATTAATCATGGAAAAAAAGCATGTAGTCCGAAGAACAAAAAAAAAAAGTCTCCTATGAGTAGTTCAAGCAAATGCACAAAGCCAAATGTTAAGGACAATTATGTATGCAAATAAAATATTGTATAATCTTTTGTTATTTATTTTTTTATTCTTTATTTCTATGTGTATGGATGTATAAATCAGGCCCGCAAAGCCACAATAGCAGAGGCAAGCCTCAATAGTCATGAGAAACAATTCTTATCATGGCATAGAATAGTACTGCACATTATTATTTTTTTAAAGCAAAGAAAACAAGCATAATAGGTATGTCAGCGGCGAGGGATCAAAAGTATTGTCAACAGATGTCAAACCTACTGACTGCATAAGAGGTCATAATAGGAGAAAAATAGGTTTATGAGACAGGAAACATGCTATTGAGTAAGATTATGTTAGCTTTGGTTAAGGTACTACTTAACATAGCAATGAAACTCTTGCACTACAGTGCTGCTAAGTATAGGAGGCAGATGTCAGCCTACAGTTGCAAGAAAAAGCCTACAGTTGCAAGAAAAAGCCTACAGTTGCAAGAAAAAGTATATGAACCCTTTGGAATGATATGGATTTCTGCACAAATTGGTCATAAAATGTGATCTGATCATCATCTAAGTCACAACAATAGACAATCACAGTCTGCTTAAACTAATAACACACAAAGAATGAAATGTTGCCATGTTTTTATTGAACACACCATGTAAACATTCACAGTGCAGGTGGAACAAGTATGTGAACACTTGGATTTAATAACTGGTTGAACCTCCTTTGGCAGCAATAACTTCAACCAAAGTTTTGTGTGGTTGCAGATCAGATGTGCACAACGGTCAGGAGTAATTCTTGACCATTCCTCTTTACAGAACTGTTTCAGTTCAGCAATATTTTTGGGATGTCTGGTGTGAATCGCTTTCTTGAGGTCATGCCACAGCATCTCAATCAGGTTGAGGTCAGGACTGGGCCACTTCAGAAGGGCGGTGCGAGTGGAGGCAAGACCTCTAATATATTTTAGAATAGCTAACAGAGGTATTGGCCACCTCTCGCACGTCCACTGTAAGTAGGCCTTCTCTTAGGCCTCGGGTCTGCCGCCTGAGGGAGCCGCCGATCTCGGTCAGAAACTCAGCAAAGGCAACGGTATAGGATACCTCCTGTCTCCGGGGTAGGTCTCCTGATTGTATTCCATGCTGTAAGTTGCAATTAGATCTGTTTAGAGGCTTTGTAGCATGGAGCTCACAAGATGAGCGACCAGTCAGAGTGGCTGTCAGGCTCCGACCCCCATATTGTATAATCTTTTATAGTGGAATTTATAGGAAATCATTGGTTCTGGCTCTCAGACTCTAGATCTAACAACTGATCACTAGGTCATAACCACTCGTCTCCCTTTACTCATACAAATATCAACTACTGAAAAGCAAGAGAATATTAAACCAATCAAAATTAAATATTTGAATGAGAAATTGCAAAGAAATCCTAAACTGTATTAAAATCACTCTAGAACAGTGTAGGTGTGATTCTAGGGGTGTAAAATAGAACAATCCCCTGCTGTCAACCTAGGAATGGGACACTAATTTTGATACCCCATTTTTTTTATATAATGTTTGGTAGACTTTTCCTTTCTGTCCTTCATATTTAGGAAAGTGATATTACGTAGACACACTGTTACATGTTTTCTTTCGGATAAGATACTATTACTATTCATACTTTCATATATCAATCGTCTGTTCCATCTATACTCCTAGCATCACACCTACACTGTAGAAGAGTGATTTTCCTATAGTTTAGGAAATCTTTGAAATTTCTCATTCAATTACTTAATTATTTAATTTTGATTGGTTCAAACATATTCTCTTGCTTTTCTGTAGTTGAGATTTGTATGATTAAACCTACATATATCATTTAAGATATTTACACTGTGTTTATGGATTACTAGATACCGTATTAATGGTTACATTTTATATACTTTGTGGGCTGGTATCTATGTTTGGTATGGTAATGCTTGTTAATTAGGGGTTAACCTACACCCAGTCGAGTTGATGAGTCCCTTCTAACCGTACTCTCTATTACACTCACATAAAGTTTTATAAGTTTAGCTACACACATTCACATACCTAACAAGCCACTTCCATTCTTATATACACATTAGACACTCATACAATAATTTGCCATACAACCCTAAGCCAGAATAGGAGCCAGAATGTGCCCACAACCTATAATCCTGTAAAGGAAGCAGTAGAGTAGGGGGTTACTATACAGCGGGGGTAGTCAACCTTTTAATACCTACCACCCACTTTTGCACCATTCCACAGTAACTAATTCTATAGCGCAGGTGCAATTTTTAAAAAAAATTTTTTTACAAGGAATTTAATTTTTTTAAATATGTACTTAAATGTATCTATTTTTTTCTTTTTTTCTATTTTGTATTCTACTTTTTTTCTATGTGTGTCTGTGAGGTGCTGTGTGTGTGTGTGTGTGTGTGTGTGAGGGTGCAGTGCATGTGTGAGGGGGCAGTGTGTGTGTGTGTGTGAGGGTGCAGTGAATGTGTGAGGGGGCAGTGTGTGTGTGTGTGTGAGAGGGGGCAGTGTGTGTGTGTAAGGGGGGCAGTGTGTGTGTGAGGGGGGGCAGTGTGTGCTTGTGTGTGAACGATGCATAGGGTCTATGCTGTGTGTAGACTGAAAATCTATCTTAATGTCTTCCTCTCCCTTCTTCTTACATTTTACCAGGGTGTGGGAACATAATACTGCAAGCTCTGGTTATCCAGTGGTGGCATGTTCACTTTAGTTTGCAGCTATAGGCTGACTCTCATATCCTTTTGTGAGCACAGCACTGTATCAGAGCATTGCCATGGTAACCCGATGCAACACTAAAACTCCCCTGCTCGCGGGAGGAAAAAAAAGAGACTCCCAGGCCCTCCCTCAAACTAAGTGCCAGCGGGATGTTGAGGGAGTTCTTTGATCTCCTCACCAGCCCGAGACAGCTTACAGCAAGGCTGGCTCTGCATGGGCCGGCAGGGGAGATGAAAGGATCTCCCCTGCAGGCCTTGGTCCACAGCCATCTAGGCCCACTGGGCGTTTTCTGCAGAACCCACTACTGCCCACCTGATATCCCAAACCGCTCACTAGTGGGCAGTAAGGACCAGGTTGCCTAACCTTGGTACACGGTAACGCCAGTGCTGCTCTGTCTGTACTGTGTGCATCAGTATTAATTTGCCCGGGTCTTTTTTTCTTTTTTTTTTTTTAAAACTACACAGTAGTTGTGGTAACAGAGGAACTGGTCCTCTAATGATGTGTACAGTGATCCTCCTTTAGTATACTGCTCTAAATCCAGGGTTAGTTAACTAACTGAAAACACATCTCTTCACGAAAGCTCACCATCTTCCTGGGTGACGTTTCTCTAATTTTACCACCCTCATCACTACCATCCCCTCCCTAGCCCAGCTCACTATTTCGCCTGCCATGGTTTTAATAATTGTTAGGGCGCTACAGAATATGTTGGCGATATATAAATGATAATAATAACAACAATAATAATTAAATGTAATGACATTTTATAGCAAAATGCATTTGTAAAACGAATAAAAATTAAGGGAGTCAATTCTATTTTTTATGGGCATTTTACTTTTTAAATTTATAATTTCACTAATAGAACAATCACATTTTCACATGAGTACATGCAGTTTACGGTATTCAAATACTTAAATTTTCTAAAAGGCCGTGTAATTGTAATGAAGGGTAGACAATAGGTAATTATGAAAGCATTGTCGAATGCAACCATTGGAAGTTAACCGTTATTGTCTCACAGTGGTTCGTTTGAGTACATGTCTCATTCAAGCTTTTTGTTGGTTGAATGGCCTTCAAGTTAGTAGATAAACGGGAACGCAGGAAGGTTTTTTTTTGTCAGTTTGTTGCCGAGTGAACCATCAACTGTGTTGTTCACGAAGCATTTCTATTTGCCAGTGTTATATCTCTTTGTGCAGATTCATTTACAGAGCATATAATGAGAAGAAAATGACAGTGTTCGATGGCAAATACACCAATCTGTATCCGTATAGTCTTGTACAATGAATTTTCTTGTTTGAATATACCCCATAACTATTTTCGTGAGACAATTACTGACAATTACATGAAATGAGGGAAAAGACAGATAAGGTTTAATACGCTTCTCAGATAAGCTGAAATGCGCTAATGTTCATGAAAGGCAGGTAACCTTCTATGTACTTAAATGTCACGAAAACCATAATACATATTGATTCAATGACATTTAGAAATGTAAAAAGCATCTGCAAGATAGCGCTAACATACAATTTACTTCCCATTAAAGAGGTTGAAAAAGTTAAAAGTAATGTAACATAGTGTCGGACGAGTTTATGTTTCTATTTTAGTTTCTCAAAATCCACATAAATGATATTATATTCTTGAGGCATAGTAGAATGTAATGCTTATTGCCTTCTTCACAAAATGAGATCACATGGTCTATGGTCTCATGCGCAAAATGAGGCCAGGTGATCCATATTACTCTATAACACAAGAGGTTCTGTGGTCTAATGCCTCCTGCACAAAATTAGGCCAAGTGATGCATAGTACCCTAGAACACAAAAGGTCCTGTGGTCTATTGAATCCAGGACAAAAAGAGGCCAAGTGATCCATAGAACCTTATAACACAAGAGGACCTGGGGTGTGATGCCTGACATCAAGAGTACCCATGATCTATTGCCTCCTGCACAAAAAAAGAGGCCAAGGTGTTACTGTGATGAAGGTGGTGTTGAAGGTGGGGCTGAAGTGACCAAGGCCTAGGATCAGGAACAAGGACCAGGGTCAGGAACCAAGAACCAGAATGCCAGGAGACTGGGAGAAAGCACCAGAGCATCCAAGCACGGAACAAGTGCACTACTTAGCTATTAATATGCAGAGCAATTATGAGGCCAGCCCTCACCTCACAGTAGGTGGAGCCCCCAAAGACTATAGAGGAGAGGATAGGTCTGGGCACCATCTTGGCTAGCCCTCAGTCCCTTCCCTTTGTCTGTCCAGTTCTTCCCCCCGATCACTCCTACCCCCCCTGTATCTGTGTCTGCCATTTTGGCTCGGCAGGTAATAATATTTGAACCTATCCCCCACCTAGCCTTACATTTTCTAATCAGAGGGACTAACAAATGAGGGGGATAAAGGATGCCAAGCCAGCAGTTCTTACCTACCACTAAACTCAAGCAAGTACCAATGCCACTGGCACCTCATATTGTATGTACGCAGAGTTTCGTTCTACTACATCCATCCCTAACAGTTTACTTGAGAGTCCTCTAATTCTGCACTGAGTGTCTGTCTCGCACAGGAGGGTGAGACCGCTAATTCTATTGAATATGTCACTAGCTCGAAAGAGTTGGATCACTAATTCTGCACTGAGTGTCTACCTCGCTCTGGAGGGTGAGCCCACGATTTATCTTGTATATGTCTTGAGTTTAAAACACTCCGATCACTAATAGTGGAGTATTCATTAAGTTCCATAAAACAAGATCGCAACTTCTGGTAAATATTTCTCTATTTCTTATGTCAGAGCACTTATTTGGGGCTGAATGTCTGCTTATTTGTGAGGAGCCAACCCAACCCCTGGCAATTAATCCTGGGCTGAATGTCTGAAACCAATCCAACCCTTGACAATGACCAACAGGTAGTCAATGAAACCTAAAGTATGCAAATGGTCTAAAGTCCATTCACCAAAACAAATAGTGCTCACAGCTATGTTCAAAACAGTTCACCTATATCAATGAAAACAGATGTTCTCATGGCACCAATCTAGAACCAGAATCTAATTTTGTGAAAAATCCATGCATATGCCTTTTAAATGAAACATGACTATGACAATGCAGTGCATTAGTTAAGGATTCAACCTTTGTCAGGAAGACTTTAATTAAGGAATAACAAATGACAATATTCTATCAAGCTTGAAATGTATCACTGTGTCTTGTTTAATTGACATCAAGACTGAATGAAATTAATTTCCTCACGACTCATTTAGTACCAGGTAATACATAGAAAGAAGGTTATTAAAAAAGGCTGGCTTATCTACTTTTGACAAGGATGTCAGCAGCCCTGGTAATAAAATGCTTAAATTGAAATGCATTTACTGAAACGAAGGTGTGTGGCACCGAACCAGACTATCAGCTCATTACAAGAGGCATCATTATTTTCTGAAGGGAAATCAGAAATATGGATTCCTGGCCAATTAGAAACAATTCATATTGCATTAATATTCAGAAGAAAAAAAAGAAATAAAAATGTTTAATATGTAAATCTCTCATATAGAGCCTCAAATGCAATATGGAAAGTTACCAGTATGCAAACACATCATTCCATATTCATCATAGTTTCACAGGACATTTTTTATTTTTCCCCCCCAAATGTAATGTTATATTAGAATATGAGACTGTGTAGGCGTTATAAGGGCTCTTTTGTTCCTTTTGCTGTTTTTTTGACACACCTCATTAAATTTGTTGAGTGTTTTTGTCTGTAGCTTATCTTACACTCTAACCACCCTTTTTAAATGTGCACCATTTTTTGGTAACAATGAATTTATCAATTTTCTGATTTTTTTTTTCACCAGAAAAGTGTTCTGTTTCACTTGTCTTTTACAGCCTGTCTAAATTTGATGGTCTTGTAGAATTTAGGTAGGGAAAAGCTGAATTTTTTTAGATAAGAACAATTTCAGAAATGTTTACAGAGCAAAACAAAGGACACTTTTCAGAACACTTTAATAAATCTTTCCCTGTGAGGTTGGACTTACAATTCTGAGATGCACCCAAATTTTGGCTGCCAAAATTTTCGTCCGAAAATTGGCCTATCCTATTTCGGCCGGAAAAGGGTCAAATCTGCTGAAAATCGGGAGGGGGTCTGGCGGCTTGCCCTGTGTGCCACCTGGTGCGAGGCCCCTCACGTCTGCCTGGGGACACAGCCAGCACAGTCTGCAGCTCTGCCGGGTGTGAGCTGCAGACTATGCTGTATCTAGCGGTCTCCGGCCAATCAGAGCGTTGCCATGGGTTACCACGGCAATGCTCTGCAGCTCCCACCCGGTGGAGCTGCAGACTGGAGAGACAACCCAGCGGACCACCAGGGAGCCAGGACACTGGACCACCAGGGAAACAAAGGTAACACCCTCCCTCAGTCACTCTGTCACACCATCCCTCAGTCACCCTCTCTTTCACTCACTCCCTCCCTCAGTCACTGTCACCAGTCACACCCTCCCTCAGCCACTCTGTCACTCCCACCCTCAGTCACTCTGTCAGTTTATCCCTCAGTCTATGTCACCAGTCACCCCCTCCCTCAGTCACTGTCACCCCCTCCCTGTTTTGGGGAAAAAAATATTTTCGGTTTCAGCCCAGAATTTTCATTTCGGTGCATCCTTAGTTGGGAGTAATGCAGGTGCACCAGCAGATGGGATGGTGTATGAGGATCTGGGCATTGAACAATTAAGAATAAGAGCATACGATCAAAGCTTGCTCTGTTAATGCACTATAAATCCATAGGTCAATAGACAGATGCATTGGAAAGTCTCAACACACTAAAGTAGGTGAGATATTTAACACACTAAGTCTAAGAGTTTTAATGAAATGAATAGCATTCTTTTTTAAATGCATCAATTGATATTGAATGATATTTGTTATGATGGATTGGGTTTTGGTAGTGTCATCTCCGTGGCCCCTGTCCCTTATTATTACTTGTTATGTTTTGTGATTAATTTTTGTTTGCATTTATGTTAACGCAAGACTGTTTTACAGTAAAAAATTAAATAAACAGCATTAAACACTACAAAAATGAATAAACCTAGCATCTCATTAAGCAACTGATAGATGTGTCAGTGGTTCATTGAAAAGATTGTAAAAGGTTAAAGAATTTGACCAATTCATAATGATTTATTTTAAATTGTAATGACAACATGGCGGTCACATGAAGCCTGATTACTTCCTCAGTAACAGTGATTCAGGCCCAGAGTTACAGCATAGAAAATAAAGAGACTGATGTTTTATTAATTTAGCTGCATGATCCAGCATGCAGTCATCTTTGATCTTTAATAGTCAGTTATTATAAGCCAGAGAGATGGAGGCGCGAAGGGATTTATTATCTGCGCTATCTCGAGCAATAACCTAAGCTGTTTTTCTTTTTAATATCGGCTGTATGGTAATAAAAAAAAATTAATCAAATCAGACATATATTATTTCTTTGCTTGAAAATGGAACTCACGGAGAATTAGATTAAAATAAAAGACAGTAATGGGAATCGGGATGAAGATGTCTTGTGGTTTAACTGACATTTGCTTGCCCTGGACCTTAAATGAAGACAACTCAGAAGGTTACATTTCAATAACAAAAGCACGCCAGTATGTGAGATTATAAAAACAGATTTCAGTTGGAGAAAAGAACCTATTAAAATTGGAAACCTGTGTTTTGATCTCAAGAGTATTGGCCATCTGGATATCTGAGGCAGGTAGATTATTCATGAGTACATCAAGATCAGAAAATAGATTGGAAAGCTATTAGAAAGTTCTGCAAAGTGACAATAGAACCGTGCAGCTGACATTTTCCATGCCTTTGTAAGAACACGTACTAAGGTTTATTTGAGATTGGGACTCTTTGAGTGCATGCTGGGACCGTCCCTCTTCCCTTACCCCCCCCACCCCCCCATTATTAGTGAGACACCTTTAGGTGCTGGAAAAGCTATTACTGTTTTTGTTAAATAACTTGAAAATGGTTTGCCAGGAAATTGGGGACATTGAAAGGTGGTTAAGGTACCTTGTAAACCAAATTGTGATTTGTTGTATTATGATAAGTCTTCTCTCTTCAAGGGTCAAAAATGGGTAATGCTAACAAAAAAAATAGCTTCCACAAAACACTGGTATTGGTTGTAGTATCTGCCATCCTTAAGAAGGCTCCAGATGTGAGCCGAAACATTGATGTTAATTTTTTTATTTTGTATATGAATTAAAAGTTTAATTTTACTTTACAAAGACCCTGGAGTGCATTCTGTTTTTTTGGACACCTATATATATATATATATATATATATATACACACAAAATCACAGATAAAATGTGTATCTTGTAATACCTTTTTTATTGGACTAACAGAATTTTGTTATGACAACCTTTTGGGAGAACCTCCCTTTCTCAAGTCTGAAGCATTTCTGAGGCTCATTTTACATCTGCATCACTGGATTAATGCGGCTACAACCTCTCTCTCTATCTCTCTTCATATATATCTACATATAAAATTTCATTAATATTATATTAAAACATGTTTGGCATATATGTGAATTTTCCATTTTTTTTTTTTAACTTTATTTGCTGACAACCCAGGCAGTTGCCAAGCTGGCTGTTGCAGCCATGTGATCAAGATGTAATCACAATCACATGGCCGAGGAGGGCCAGACTTGCCAAAGGGGGACTGCATGGGTTGTCAGTCAGTCCCCCCGAAGTGGATTGCCAGGATAGGTGAGTATTTTAGAGTGCGGGGGCTGAAAGCATTACGCCGTTCGATGCCGCAGCAACGGCTTTAAAGTCAATTAAAATTCGGACCACATAGAACATTGTAACAAAGTTAAAGGGTTAACCCCCTAAGGATAGACTTATTTGTCCAAGTTCTGAACCAAAAAAAACCCCTATAATTTGCGCTATATGTTTCTTCCACCATAATTTAAGGGTTTCTCTTTAAATGCCATATATATTGTATATTGTTTTGTAAAAGACAGAAAGTGCTCTCTTTTAATATCCTATATGCATTCCTAACACAACTTTAGGTGTGAGTAAAATTTTAAAAATGGAAAATATATATATATATATATATATATATATATTTCACATTTTTTACACATCCAGTGGAAAAAAAACCTCAAAATATATTCACGTATCTGTCCTGATTGTTAGATTCCTAATATGTTTAATCTAAATTCATTATTGGTAGCAATGGTTAACCCTTTACCAATGCCTGATGTAATGCTATACCAATATGCTTAAACTAGCGCTACCCATGTACCTACCTTACGCCTACGCTATCCATAACCCTAGAACAGCTTACCCTAACACTAATCTTTCACTGACCCTAACCGTGCAACTAACCATAACTCTAACCTAGCACAAACCCTACTCCAACTCCTAATCCTAGGTAAACACTCTACTAATATTGGTACTGATATCATCAGATAGGTTTCCTAGTCAAAAGAGTAGGAAAAGTTCTGTGATTACAATCTATAGACTGGTTTCATTATTACAGTTTATGTAATTTTATGGCAAGACAGGAGGCTTCATATTTGCTTTAACCTTCTTTACTGAACCTCCCAGCAGCAAAGAAATAGTTAAACATATAGAGAAAAAATCAACCAATCAGGACACATATTAGAACATAACAGTCTGTCAGGCTCCTCCCAAATCCTCTTTCTTTGCTGCTTGCCTCCCGGGTGAGTCTATTCCAATTATAGCTCTCTAATATATATTATTGACCTACCTTATATTGTTTTTTTCCATATATTTTTTGACTCCTTTAATTAACTTTCCCTGTCTGTTTTATTTCCATGGGGTAATGTGTGTGTTTATTTTATCTGTGCACTTTACCACATAGACCTTTTCACAGGTCAGCCCACTGTTCAGTCCCTTCCCTGTGCTTTTTATTTATGACTGACTGGGTTTTTTTGTAGTAAAACCTTAATAACCTTTTCCTTGGTGAAATTCCGTCCGTAGGTCCGTTTTAATCACGCCCGCGATCTATTTCCGTACCGCCCGTTTTTTCGCGTCATTTGATTGACACGCAGTTTCCCGCCTTCCTCCTTCTATGCCGGCGGCCATCTTCTGTTCGGCGGTTAGTTTCCGTTCGCGCGCTTTTTCGGTGAACAGCTCTCTGCTACTGGATTACAGCTCTGTTAGACGATAAGTTTAATTGCCCCCTGCTGGTACATTTTGTTATTACATCTGAATATTACACAGAACACTTGCTTATATTAGCCTATTTGTGTTTTTATTTGCAGATTGCTCTCAAACTATACTATACAGCTCTATGCCTATTAGAGGGTGACCCCCTCTTGCCTTTTTGATTTAAGGGTGATCCCCTTGTGCCTCTTTATTGAGGGTGACCCCTCGTGCCTTATCTCTCAGGGTGAACCCCTTATATATTTTATTGATTTGCACAGGTTACCCCTGTCATTATTATATTGACAGTTTAACTGCCATAATTGTGGATGAACCCCACTTAGTCCCCTTCAAGGTGACTGCATATTATCTGGGTGAACCCCAATAAGACAGCCCCTGCTTTTACTTGTTTTTTGTAAAGTTTGTTAATATATATAATACAAAAAAAAAAAAAAATTAAAAAAAATAAAATAAAATAAAAGTTGTTTAATATACCTTTTGGTATACTGATTCTGTGGTGAACCCACTACTATTTTACTGGTCACCATGTCGGACCAACCAGAACCTGCAATATCAGCAGAATTAAAAGCCTGGCTTCAAGCTGCAATTGCAGACTCTATCCCCAAAGCCTTGGCAGCATTTCATGACCAGACAGCCACTACTGCCACCATCTCGCAGTTGTCAGACTCTGATGATTCCAGGGTCTCTGACCCACGTAAACGCCCGTGGAAGGGTAACAGTGCTTCTGCTGGCAAAGGCAAAGCCCCAGCAAAGACAGCTAAATTGTCTCATGCCAAACCCACTTTGACCTCAGAATCCGACCTCTTAAAGGATTCAACCTCTGGTTATCACCTACGAGTGATAGACGAATACAATGCGTATCCAGAGGAGGATCTCCCAGGTGACCCTTCCCCTTCTGAATTTGTTACAGAGACTTTCCTCCTACCGCAAACCCAGTCCTTTCAGGACACTGACCCTATGTCCACTACTAATTTAGACAATACTAAGGACGATATCCTACTGGATACCAATGGTTGTCCTCTATTTGACCCACGCTGCATCAGACACCCTCGTTCAGCGGAATGGACACCCCCTGATCACATTGCAAAATATTGCAGATTATGGCTTTGTAAACCCTTAGAAAAGGAGATTAGGGCCAAATTAAGAGCAGAATGTCCACGGCCTATGATCCCTGATAAGGTGGCTGTCACCCCTGAACTTGACCCACTCCTGGTCACTTTTCTAACTAAGACGGGTAAAGATCCCCGCAAAGGAATCGAAGTTGGCTTAAAAGCCACCCAGGACAGGCTGATGTATATAGCAGGCCCGCTTATCCCGATTTTTATAATTGATGATGAGACGCTAGCAGGAGGCAATTTTGACGCACACATGGTGCGTGAATGGGCACAAAGAGCGTTATGCCTGTTAGGCAACGCCAATGTAGCTATTTCCGTTGAACGGCGTAAAGCCGTGTTACATAAAATTGATGCCAAATTGGCAGAACTAGGCACCAAAGAACTTGGTCCAGAGGTTAACGGACTATTATTCGGGGACAGGTTCATACGAGACCTGAATAAACACGTATCCGTGTTTACCTCCCTTAACAAGGCACAATGGAACCTTCGCAGGGTGTTCAGACCCCAGCGTTTTTCCGGGAGAGCTGGTCGCTATAGGGGCCGAACGACTGGCAGAGCTGCCTTCACAGGCTACAGGCCTCAACCAGCAGACTCATGGAATTCGGGCAATACCCGTTTCTACCACAAGCAGTTCTTTCCCTCTAGACGTTCCATCAGAGGACGTGGATATGCTTCCCTCTTATTCTCAAGTTCCTATTGCAGGTCGGCTAACCCTTTTTTTCCAACAGTGGTCTCTATTAACTCAGGATCCATGGATGCTTCAAACTGTATCTGGTTTCCATATAGATTTTGCAAACGACCCTCTACAAGAGTTCCCCCCTCCACCTCTGCACATGTCTCAAGAGGACAATGCGACTTTGGAGGCTGTGCTAAACGACCTTGTCGCCAAGGGCGCTATATAACGTTCTCGATCCCCTCACAGATTCATAAGCAACATATTTCTGGTCCGAAAACAGTCAGGGGACTTTCGACCAGTTATCAACCTGAAAGACCTAAACACTTTTATTGTTTACCAACATTTCAAAATGGAGGGTATCCACCTCCTTCAAGACCTACTCTGCGAGGGAGACTGGTTCTCCCGTTTAGACTTGACAGATGCTTACCTCACGGTTCCTATAACACCGGCCCATCGCTGTTTCCTACAGTTCAGATGGCATCAAGACTTATGGCAGTTCACATGCCTTCCCTTCGGACTCTGTTCCGCACCCTGGTGTTTCACCAAGCTGATGAAACCGGTCATGGCCTTGCTACGCTCCCAAGGGATTCGCTCCATCATATATCTGGACGATATCCTCCTTATGGCTCGGGACCCAGGCACTCTACGCCTCCATACAGACATGACCACAGCTCTGTTACAAAACTTGGGGTTCGTGATCAATGTCCAAAAATCCATCCTCACCCCATCTCAGGTGGTTCAATTCCTAGGATTCCAAATAGATTCCGTTTTGGCTGTCCTACAACTCCCTTCAGTAAAGATCAAGAACATCAAAAAAGACATCAGAAAAATTCTAGCCTCTTCGACTATCCGCCTTCGCGACTTAGCTCGCATAATCAGACTACTCTCCGCCTCAATTCAGGCGATCTTCCCAGCTCCTTTACATTACCGAGCAATGCAATGTCTGAAGACTCGCTCGTTACGTCACTCTGCATCTTACGATCAACAGATCTCCTTGACAGACGAAGTCCGACTCGAATTGAACTGGTGGCTACACCATATGGAGGCATGGAATGGGAGAGCGATCTTTGGATCACAGCCAGATTACATCCTAGAATCAGATGCCAGTCTGCTGGGCTGGGGTGCATCATGCGTAAATCTCTCTACCGGAGGCTCTTGGTCCCCATCAGAACGAGCATTGCACATCAATTGCCTCGAGTTGATTGCCGGGACCTTTGCGATTCGCAGTTTCGCAAAGGACTCCTACAATTGTTCCCTAGTACTGAGAATGGACAACATCTCAGCTGTTCAATACGTGAATCGTTTAGGGGGATCCCGTTCCAAAATGCTCTCAGACCTCACAAAAGAACTATACCAGGAACATCTCCCTGCGAGCAGAGTATCTACCGGGTTCAGACAACTTAGTCGCAGATTGGTTCTCTCGACACTGGAGAGACTCCAGCGACTGGCAATTGGACCCACACGTTTTTTACTGTCTCCATCTTCTTCGGGGTCCATTCAATATCAACCTATTTGCGTCTCGTCTGAACCGACAGACGGACACTTTTTTCAGTTGGTTGCCGGATCCGACCTCTCTGGCAGTAGACGCCTTCCTTCAATCTTGGCCAATGACCGGCACTTATGCCTTCCCTCCGTTCTCCATGATCCTTCGCACTCTCCATCATCTCAGGACTCAGGGGACCACAATAACACTGCTGACCCCTTTGTGGCGTACCCAGCCATGGTTCCCCAATCTCTTGGAGATGTCGGTGAATTATCCACTACTGCTACCTGCCATGCACGATCTTCTCAAAGATCCCGCAGGCAATTTTCACTCTCTTGCGTTGCAGGGTCATCTCCAGCTAGTGGCCTGGACTGTTTCAGGGGATCCTGGAATGCTGCAGGACTTTCGGAGTCTGCTAGAGCACTCTTATGGGACTCATGGGCCCCCGGGACTAGACGCTCTTACCTCTCAGCCTGGCGAGTTTGGCATCGCTGGTGCTTGGAAAGGTGTATTGATCCCGTTTCAGCTTCTTTGATTAACGTCATGAACTTTTTGTCCTCTCTTTTTGATCAAGGTAAATCCTACAGATCCATTAATGTGTTTCGTTCAGCAATTTCGGCAGCTCATGGCCCCATTGATAATACAGCAATAGGTAAACACCCCTCCATCTGTAGACTGTTGCGTGGCATTCGTCTTGCTCGACCTCCTGTCCCAAAATATTCTAATTTTTGGGATGTTGCTCGTTTTGTCCTTCCTAGAGACTTGGCCACCCAATGAAGCACTCTCTTTACGACAACTGTCGGCCAAATTAGCTTTGCTCCTCTGCTTGGTTTCTTTTAGGAGAGTCTCTGATATTCAAGCATTTGACTTTCACGCTATTGAATTCACGCCCCAAGCTATATGTTTCAACATTTCTCGCCGCACTAAAACTAATTCCTTAACGATTACTTACCCTTATTTTTTCCGACAGACCATCGCTTTACGTTGCTCGTTGTGTCCAACACTACGTCGCCTCTACATCACCTCTACGTCCCCCTACGGGCCCCCTGTTTAACTCATATGTGCGACCACACAAGCCAGTGTCTTGTCCCACGATTGCCCGCTGGATCAAATGGCTTCTATATTCAGCGGGCATAGATTCATCTTTTGGCGCTCATTCTGTCAGAGGTGCTCCTGCCTCTTCCGCCTTTATAGCTGGGGGATCCCTTACAGACATCCTAAAATGCACTGATTGGTCTAGAGAATCTACCTTCCGTACCTTCTATTTTCGACAATCGTCCCATGCTTCTTTTTCTTTGGTTTCCACGCTTTAAAACAGCAAATATGAAGCCTCCTGTCTTGCCATAAAATTCGGGATTATTCTAGCTTTAGTGACTGAATAATCTAAATTTTATTAAAGACAGGAGGCGAATATTTTCCCATCCTATTGATCTCCCACCCAGATTTTTTTTCAGATCACATGTACTCTTAAAATGTTTTCTAGGTTTCTTGTGAGACTTTATATTTATCTGACTTTATCTGACGGTGCTTATCAATCTGCCTGGTTCTGATTATTTTAAATTTTGCAATAGTTATACTCATAATATCCAGGGGGTAGATCTGTAAATGTAGATATCTTGCGGACACCCAGTCCAAGTGACCATACTTTCACGATCTTTCTCTGTCTTTTAGTGTGAAGTTTCTCTACATGAGCCACGAAGACTACGTTCCTTTGGTCTCTAGTATCGGCTGCGTTCTGGTTTACATGGTTGATGGATTACTCAAGTTTACACGGTTGACTACACTTATGATCGGCTGCATCAGAAAGAGGATTTGGGAGGAGCCTGACAGACTGTTATGTTCTAATATGTGTCCTGATTGGTTGATTTTTTCTCTATATGTTTAACTATTTCTTTGCTGCTGGGAAGCAAATATTCGCCTCCTGTCTTTAATAAAATTTAGATTATTCAGTCACTAAAGCTAGAATAATCCCGAATTATGAATGAAGCCTGCTTTTCCAACTGATTACACTGTTAACGGTGCTGGGCAGCTGGCAAACCCCAGAACTGATCACAGTAGGCTTGGGTGCATGCAGGGAGACATTGGCAGGGTCTGTCCAGCCCCTAGAAGTCTCCCTTAGAGTTTCAGCAACATAAGAATCACAGTGGTGAAGCACCATGTTTCTGCCACGGTGTTCTCAATGCATTTAACAGTCAATGCATATAACTAGCCACTAAATTTGGCCCCAGCTCACAGAGGGGTGTCTCGGGTATCTAGTGATACCTGGGTCTCCTGGTGTAAGCTCAAACCACATGGCAGTCAATGGGCATTTAAATGTAATTGTTAAATGTAAGAGTTGTATGCACAGTCTGTTGCCACTAAAAATCTAAGCCCAATCAGTCAAATCGTTAGGACATTTTCCATTCTAATGGTGTTAAAGCCCGCACTTTGGAGGACAGTATGGAATGTTCTAACTTCAGGAAGAAGTTAATAAACATTAATATACTGCATTGAATTAATATTTTAACAGTAATGTCAGTGTATGTAAGAATTAAAAACTACTTTTTTTGAATCTATCTTTAGCTCCCTGCACTTTGTGCCTACTTCAAGAAAACTACAGAGAGAGAGAGCAAGAGTGAGTTCTATATTTCGCAAATCTGGAAGTCTGTTTTATCCTCTAACGACTATCTGACTTCATGGCGAGATAGCCGACTTTGGTCCCTTCTCAGGAAAAAGTAAAAACTCTGTGCCTGCGGTATCTCTGCTGTTTAATACAATTTTTAAAGGGAAAAAATGCATAGAAATCCAACGATTGAATATGTAAAACTTCATACATACTAGTGTATACTGCATACAGACTTGTACTTTTGCAATTTTTGTTGAATAATAATCTTTTATTTTTTCATTGAAACATCAACACCAAAACATTATTTAACTGTCCTGTTTTCCTCTGCTCAAACTCATACGTTTGCAAACTGATTGGACTACCTTTCTAAACACCACACTGAAAACAACGGACTAATAAACAAGACTGTTGGACACATTCTCTTCTTAGTTATCTGCCAACGTTACAGTTGGTCATCTCCTTCCATTCATATTTCTCTTTATGGTCCTTAGGAGCCCAGTCTGGGAAGTACCAGTTTAATTGTGAAGAGATTACTAGACAAACTGTAAATGGTGTCAGATTGGAGATCCCAAGATGGTGCACGCTTGAAGCATTTTGGGAAGAGCAGGTATTATCTGTTGATACTGATACAGAGAGAAAGTCATCACTCCAAACAGGTTCCACCTCCAGGCTGCCACATCTCTCATGCTAAAGGCTAGATATTTCCAATAAACGCGCTCCACCTAGATACTTCCATGTTTTCCATCCTAATGCTGCTAAAGGCATTATGTTCTCTCCAGTGACAATCCACCTCCATATTCTGCAAGTGCCTTAAAGGAGCCCATCAAGCTAGACTTAAAGGGACACTCCAAGCACCTAAAGCACTTTAGCTTGCTAAAGTGATTTATGTGTGAACAGTATGCCCTCTTATTTTTTCCACTTTACAAAAAGTGCAGAAACTGGCACTTTTATAAATTAACCTGGTTACACCCCTCTGGCTGTCAATCAGACATCTAGTCATGTTACTTCCTGGTTTTATTAGCTCAGTGGAAATTAAACTTAAGAGGTAGCATGTGCTCAGAGCACCTGCCTTGCAAAGACTTCTCATTGAGCATTGGAAAGTCTGTGATTGGACTGCCACAGCTTTTTTCAGTTGCAGCTCATGGCTGATTTCTGGTCACCAATCCTTTTAGATCATGTCCCATGATTTGGTTTAAACAATGCTATGTGTCCATTCAGTGGCATACATACCAGGGTCGCGGCTGCGACTGGGCCCGGCCCAACAGGGGCCCCGGCCCCCCCTGCGACCCGGTATGTACCCACAGGGCCAGCTTCTTCTCCTGGGGGGCCCAGGAGGTGGCCACCTCAGGGCCCCCTGAGGCTGGCCCTGCTGACCCCGGCGGGCGGGCGGGCTGGCTGTTTGGGTGGCCGGCACGCGAGGGAGCACTCTGCTCTGAGTGCTTCCTCTTCAGCTCCATCACGCACCGCACTGATACCGGAGCCGGAAGATGACGTCATCTTCCGGCGCCGGCATCCCTATGCGGCGCGCGAGGGAGCTGAAGAGGAAGCACTCAGAGCAGAGTGCTCCCTCGCGTGCCGGCCACCCAAACAGCGAGCCCACCCGCCGGGGTCAGCAGCCCCACTGGACCCCAGGGAACCCCTCCAGCACTTCAAAAGGTAACGAGGCTGGGGGGATTACATTTAAAAAAAAATGTGTGTGTGTTTGTTAGTGTGTGTGTTAGTGTTTGTGTGTGTTAGTTTGTCTGTTAGTATGTGTTTGTGTGTTAGTGTGTGTGTGTTAGTGTGTCTGTTAGTATGTGTTTGTGTGTTAGTGTGTGTGTGTTAGTGTTTGTGTTAGTGTGTGTGTGTTAGTGTTTGTGTGTGTTAGTGTTAGTGTGTCTGTTAGTATGTGTTTGTGTGTGTGTGTGTTAGTGTTTTAGTGTATGTGTCAGTGAGTGTGTATGTTATTGGGTGTGTGTCTGCTAGTGAGTGTGTTACTGTGTGTGTCTGTTACTGAGTGTGTTTGATGTCTGCTAGTGATTGTGTTACTGTGTGTGTCTGTTACTGAGTGTGTTTGATGTCTGTTAGTGAGTGTGTGTTTGTCAGTGAAAGTGTATGTTTTGTAAGTGAGTGTGTATGTATGTCTGTCGCTGAGTGTGTCTCTGTCAGTAAATGTGTGTGTATGTTAGCTAGTGTGTATGCGTCTGTTCGTGAGAGTGTGTGTGTCTTCAGCATTTACCTTTCTCCAGCATCGGACTCCCTTGGCGCTGGGGATCCAGCACATGCGCGGCAAGAGGCGTGCGCGCATTTAAACCGCCCATAGGAAAGCATTACTCAATGCTTTCCTATGGACGTTCAGTGTCTTCTCACTGTGATTTTCACAGTGAGAATCGCGGAAGCTCCTCTAGCAGCTGTCAATGAGACAGCCACCAGAGGCTGGATTAACCCTCAGTGAAACATAGCCGTTTCTCTGACACTGCTATGTTTTCATCTGCAGGGTTAAAACTAGAGGGACCTGGCATCCAGACCACTTCATTGAGCTAATGTGATCTGGGTGTCTGTAGTGGTCCTTTAAGTGTTTGTGCATACCGCGGTCGCAGGGTCGCAGCCCTGCAACCCCTGCGAGCAGGTGCCCGCCGCCATGTGTTGCAGCCCCGACCCGCGCAGAGTAAGCGCGGGGGAAGGGGGGGGGGCCACAGATCAATTTTTGCACCAGGGCCCCATGGGTCATGTGTAAGCCACTGTGTCCATTGCTAAATATATCTCCAGAAATGAAGTATGCAACACGATGCCTGTCTGTGCTCATTTGCATGTCCAGCTAGGTACTGTAGGATAGTTAAGGGAACATGATTTCTTGAGTTTATATGCCCTTATAGACCAACGTGAGACAGGCAGGCAATATGTTGTTTTATTTGCACTCTGGGGAGTTGTATTGTATTCGTCCCCACCACAAACTTTTTGTATGTAGGCTATTCAAGAGTAGATTTATTTTGCATAAATCATAGCTATATTTTAATCATACAGCCAAAACAGGCAATATCATGCAGTTATAGACAGTAATGAGAATCTAAAAATGCACAGTAAGTTTTGGGGACATAGCAAGAGGATATGGCCATGCTGAATGTGCCAAACAAATACCACAGATCGTGTACAAATAAACATACACTACATAGCACAAAACGTTAGAAAATATTCAGTACCTTGGAGAACCAGAGCTTCTGTAGAAAGTTCTCCGGTCCCAGCGTTGACACATTCTTCATTGGGGTGCTTTTTATTATAATGTCTTTTTAGGGAACCAGGTATGTTGCAAGAATAGTGGCATAAGGCACATCCAAATGGCTGGGAAAAGAGACAATACAAAATATTAAATATACCATTGATGTACAACGAATAAAACAAACAACTGCATTTTTTTTTAACAATGTAATAAACACTGACATGAGACTTTTAAGTCAACTTAAGTCCACTTGCCTATCAGCTGAAGATCTGAAGGTTTGTTCAGTGTGGATTTGGCCTACACAATGTTTAAATCCCCGGTGACTTAGTGCACAAAGTCAATAACAATTCTATTGCATACGGAGTTATTGTATTGTGATAATATATATAAATACTGAGCAGCACACACAGCAGGCATGAATGGACCTTCACCTCTAATTCCAAAATGCATAGAAATATATCTGCAGGACTCAGGAAATTTAAATATGCCTTTCTTAATTATTTATTGCTCCCAAAAGTAATTTAGTAATGTTTCCACCCTTCAGGTCTAACAGGGTAGGGAAGAGGCCAAAGGGATCAAAACATTGCCAGGACACTTTTAATAAATTTATTAAAGGTTTTTTCTAAATACTCTGAAACTGAAAATGAATTTTCTGCAGTAGCTCACTCAACCAAGAGTTTAATCTCCAATGCCTTTAGATGCTTTGACTTGACTGAATAAAGTTTATGAGCTAAGAGGTCAGGTTAAAATGTGGGATGATAAGCAAGTTTTGTCACTGGTATCAAGGAAAGTGTGATGTATGGGCGGTTGGGCTGTGTATGAGTGTGTGAGTGTATGAGTGTATGTATTGTGATGTATGGGCAGTTGGGCTGTGTATGTGAATGTGTGTGTGAGTGTATGTATTGTGATGTATAGGCGGTTGGGCTGTGTATGAGTGTGTTAATGTATGAGTGTATGTATTGTGATGTATAGGCGGTTGGGCTGCGTATGAGTGTATGTATTGTGATGTATGGGCAGTTGGGCAGTGTATGAGTGTATGTATTCTGATGTATAGGCGGTTGGGCTGCGTATGAGTGTATGAGTGTATGTATTGTGATTTATGGGCATTGGGCAGTTGGGCTGTTGTTGGCTGTGAATGATGCACTTCCTTTCTTGTGGCTCTTTACTTCCTGTTCCTGTTGGCAGTTGGTGGAATGTTCGAGGGATTTGAAACTCTGTGTAACAAGGTTGCAATATGAAGATGCTGTTATATATGTATTAATAAAGTAAGTACTTCGTTATACAGGAATTATTGGCTTATTTGTACAAAACATCACAGAAAGTATAAAGAGCAAGGAAACACCATAAAGGAGGGGGCATGGCTAGCTAGCTATGCTGGAGATTTTAACTTTTGACACATTTTACTGCACACAACTTATAAAGTTCCAACAGAAACAGGTCTTCTTTTTTGGGTTGTCTGGAATGGAATGACGTGCTAAGATCAGACAATACAGATGAACTAAGACCTATAGTCCAACTATTACTCCCAAAAAACAAACATTACTGAAATTCTGGGTAAATGTGAGGCCTTGATTCATAGTTAAATGAATACTCTGGCAGGAAAGCTTAACCCCTTAAGGACACATGACACGTGTGACGTGTCATGATTCCCTTTTATTCCAGAAGTTTGGTCCTTAAGGGGTTAAACACCTGGATCTGGGTCATAAACCTGCTGGAAAAGAAAGAAAGACACCACAGGAGGCACAGTAATGCACCTCAGAAAACAAGTACACAAACAACATTACCAACTGACCCTTTCACATAGATATGAAGAAAATATTGACGACAACGTTAAACTGATCAACCTCCAAGCTCGAGGAATCCTCAAATTTGAGATACAAGAAGAGCTCATGTGGATCATGTTACATTTAACCAAATTCTGGTTAGGCCAGAAGACTCTACTGTCACACAGTACAGGGCTTATAGACCTCTAATGCACAAAGACTCCTTTCAAACCCATTAATGCAATATTATCGGCTGACTCCATTACAACGCCTTCACGGAATAGCTGCCTTATGAAATCGATACTTAAATCCACAGGCAACTTATGATAATCGCATTGCGACTTTGACAATTTTTAGGACCTTGCCTGAAAACCACTACAAGTCTGATACCTCCTGAAACTAGTGAGAGAAAGACTTACCACACAAGGCATGAAATACTGATTGAGCTTTCATCTGTGCCTCGTGAGCTTTCACTAGGGCCACTGATGTTCGAGACAACATTCCTTGAGTGGCCAAAGTGTATCCAGAAAACCAGGTACTAGGTATCTTAGCCATGTGTATTACCTAAAAACATGGACTCTTGCAGTGCCCCCCAAAGATGACATTCCAGTTTATAAATAAAGCCTTTTAGCAAAATAAATATAAAAAAATATTATGGCTGTAAAAATAGGGGATAAGACATGCAAGCAGGGAACATGGAGGACAATCTACTTTTTCAACTAGAGATAAATGATTTTCAAGTCTTACAGGGATAGGCTGCTGAGGAAGCATCCCTTTAAGATAGAAACTGTGTTCAGCCCTAGTAGTTATGAAGTCTGTCCTGCACGACTCCCACCTATTTTGTAGGAGCATTTCTGATGTGAATTGGAAGAAAATGTTCAAGTCAGCATGGCATTCAGTTTGGCTATTTTCCTATATTTTACAATGTATACCATTGAATAAAACATCAAAAATTTATTATAACTTGTGTTAACCATTTTTCTATTGGGTGCTGCGTTTACATTTAAATATATAAATAGGACTTAGAATATTACATCATAATCCAGTTCAGCAAAGTCACACCAAACACTGCAAATTAAGATGGGTAATAGAAACATTGTACGCTTTCACCTCTTCTCTGTATACTTTCTCTATGCCGATTGCCAGGTGTAAAGAATGTAAACGTGTATAACAAAAACTGACTGGGAGCTAGTATGGAGGCACCGAGTGATAGGAAAAAAGGGGCGGATTAATACATTTGATTTTAATTTTCACAAGTCACAAACAAATATCTGTTAAATCTAAGGATGAATAAACATAATATTCAAAATTCTGGACAATGACAGTAACATTTTAGTGAATAAACCCAGAAACTGAGGCAACACTTTGTGGTTTTAACAAAGTTGCCCCAAGCAAAGGAACACATAAGAGCCATCTGACGATTTGGTGACAAGATTTGTTTGATAAAAATATACTAGGTCTAAAATTAAGCTTAATGTTGTAGAAGGCCCATAACACTTTAATTCTGACACCTAAATACATGTCCTAATATTCTCTCTAAAAAGCACAACAGACAATGCTTCATCTGGGCATTAACATTTTAATTCCCCTTATTGAAGACAATCCAAGCCAACCCGATGATGGTGTAGTTTCTGAATACATATCAATTAGCACCGATCTTTCATTTAATAACTTAACTTGGAACACATGAAACACATTCAGTTAGCTGCTTGTAAAGTTCCATGGGAGTTCTTTTGAAATGTGTGAGCCAGATGCGACCCAGCTGGCTGGTTTCTATTATTCACAGATTATGTTAATTCACAGTTGTATTATTATTATTTTTTTACTTCTTTAAAAAAAAAAAAATTGCTGACAGGTATTTAGTTTGCGAGTGCTCTATATACGCTGCTGGAAATCCATTTAGTGTTTCTTTACTGAAATCTGTGGTTTCCATAGTAACGTAGTAAATCCGAACAATCAAAGGAAAATGTCAAACATAAATGTAAAAAGATTGAAATGGGTTTGATTTTAGTGTAATGACCGAGTTCAACAGAACCAAAATGACCATTTCAAACCAAGGACACTATAAAACAGCAAACTACGTTCATTCTTTACAAAGAATACAATACACAGTGAACGGTTAGGACCCTAAAGAATTATAAAATGTAGCTCCATTCGCAATCTTATAATGTAGACTTTTTCACCCCTTATAAACTGTCATTTTTTTATAGTCCAGGGCCTGTTTTAATAATACCATTAGAAAAATAAGAGGTGCTAACAAAATTATCACTAGTTTTGCCATTCGTGGTAGGTACAAGCAATCATTTAATTCATCCACTGGATTTTATATTACACAAATCAACAGGGGAAGGAATGAAAGTTGCCAGAAACTAAAGCTGCTACACTAAATAGGAAATGGACAGAAACGTCTGAATATTGAGCACTTGGCCCAAGTCCGTCTAAAGCTGGATTTTTCTGTACTCATTGTGACTGCGAAAGACACACACTTTGCCTCAAATGGGAAAAATAGGGGATAATGACTCTGAAGATGGAATTATTAAAGGGTCACTCCAGAGCCCTAAACAACTTCAGCTTGTTGAAAAGCTTTACATGTGAAGAGTGTGTCCTCTTTTTTCATTTTGCAAAAAGTGCAGAATTCAATAGAAATTGGCACTTTTCTAAATTAACCTGGTAACACCCTTTTGGGTCGAGAAATAGTACACAGTACAAGTTTAGTGAAAAGGCTAGAAGATTGCAATCCACTCTAGAAATAATTCACCTTCGAGGAGATATGGTAACATTATACAACTGTATAAAGGATTAATACAAAAACTCCTCTGTTCATAACAGAGCTGTATAAAAAATATATAAATACAATTGAGAAGTGGATACTTTATCTACAGCTGCCATAAGGATGAGATATGGAATTCATGGCCTCGAGAGGTTTTCTTGTCAACGTCAATGAATGTCTTTGAATGGCACTAAAAAGGCAAATACAGTCATATAGTTCAAGAAAATTCCGACATCAAGGGGAAAAGCTTCTTTCACGTTACCTTCCATGTGGCAGAAAACATCAGTGAGCTATACAGTACCTATATTAATACATACAAAAAAAATAAAAAAAATAAACAAAGATACTAAATTGCTGCATATCAACGGTCAACCAACTGCAGAAAGCCTCGCACAGCCCAGGATGAAGCTCCTCCAAGCAGGAGCCACTTAATCCGGTCTATGGACCGGATAAAGCTGTGTCCAGAGAGACTTAACTTGATATAGCATACTACCCTTAGCAGCAGGTCCTTTCATAATATCTCATAAGCAGAATAAACTGATATCAATCTACGGTCAACCCAAACACGTGGGAGCAAACCACATAGTGCAG